ATTGAAAGGACCTGTATCTGAAATCGCTGTCAGACCCTTTGGATAACACATGAATAAAACAGTTATCATATTGGTAAACTCTAAAATAGGGTATCTGGCTGATGTGCGTCGGCAATTGATTAGCAGCTTTATTAAGCTGCACTTGTGGCTGAAACCCTATTCGGAATCAAGTAGGTCAGACTTGACGATGAAGGGATCATGAAATAGTGTTGTGGGTGGGCGGATGGGCGATGTTACAGTGAAGTTGCATCAGTGATAAAGTCTGCTAGATATACGCAGCACGGGAACAACGGCGGAGAGAAAGGGTAGTGTGATGCAGAGGTCATCCATCATCAACCATTCATCTCTTCCCTCTTGTCTGGGCATTGCTGTAGGCCACTGTCATGTCATCTCGATCCGTTCGATCCAACATGGGGGTTTTATGGGAGAGACAATTCACCCCTGGGGTTACGCACATGCATACACACGCACAAAAACCACCACTAATACTGTTATAGCCCATGCATACTCATACAAACAAACAAACACGACATATTGCTATAGTCAATAATACTAGTTTATTGTTTATTTTACACACACACACACACACACACACACACACACACCCGTATAGTATACACTGCAGTGTGTCTCCTTGACTGGCTGCTGTCTGGGAGCCCAGGGGAGACACAGGGCTGTCTTTTTGATGGCGTTTTATTGTGTTGGACAACTGCTCGCTTTAGTGGGAGTCCGTATGTTTCTAGAACGGCCCCAAGTGTATGGTGGTAGTAAAACCCTTGGGATGAAATGACGGTAGAGCATATTGAATGTGGGGAACCGAACGTGTTTTTTTTTGCCGTTTGTATGCCCTTTTTTTGCCCTATGCATGTCTCCTGGGTAAATGAAAGGGTGTGTGTGTTTGTGTGCGCGTGCCCCCATGCATGTTTCCTGCACAAAAGAAAGGCCATGCTGTGTGTGTGTGTGTGTGTGTGTTGTACTTTTTCAAATTAATCCTTATCCCATTAATATATCACAAAAAAATAGCACAGTTCATTGGGTAACTTGTTTGGCTGGTTATTGATAGATTGAAGAGTTCAATTAAAATGAAGATCAAATGAGATTGTAATATTTTCAGGATGATGGGATGCTTATGTAGTCCCTATATACCTTAACGGTTTTGGGTGGAAGCAGAGAATTTGATTTGTGCAGCTTCAAAGCCAAGAAGAGCAAGAAAACGCCCAGTCGGCAGTATTGCGGGGAGGGAGGGAGGGAGGGAGGGAGGGGGTGGGGGGGGGAGGAGGAGCAGAAGAAGAAGAAGAAGAAGAAGAAGAAGGGGAGAGAGAGAGAGAGAGAGAGAGAGAGAGAGAGAGAGAGAGAGAGAGAGAGAGAGAGAGAGAGAGAGAGAGAGAGAGAGAGAGAGAGAGAGAGAGAGAGAGAGCTTCGGCAATGTAAATGTTTATTTTCCATGCCAATAAAGCTCTTTTGAATTTGAATATCAGCCGAGAGGCATATAGATGGAGAGATTAAAAAGAGGTGAGGGAGAGACGGGGATACAAAGAGTGAAAGCAGAGGATGTAGGAGAGAGAGGGATAGATAGATAGATGGAAAGAGAGAGGGAAAGCAAGATTGAGAGAGACGGATAGATGGAAAGCAAAAGAGAGGGAGAGCTTGAATGCCTATGCCAGTGCTCCCTCTGCCCAGAATCAATACAGTTATAAATCCAGAGCCATGTGTTTTTTCCTCTCCTGTCTGCGTGTGTTTGTGGTGGTCGACTCCCAGACAAAAGATTCTTCTGGGTTCGATCCCACCATCTCCTTAATGGGAGCGCATGTGTATCTAGGTGAACGCCACCTCGAGTCTCTGGAGCAGATGGCAGACGCACAAACACGAAGAGGTCGGTAGTGAGAGAGGTGCCCTAGCTGCCTCGAGCCGGTCTCTGTGACCCCAAGGCACGCGCACGCCTGTTACAATAAATACAGCCAAAATATCCTCACACCTACATAGGTGACAGAAGTGATGCTTGCTGGCTGGCTGCTGTTAGGAGTTGGTCCAACTCCCTCAGTGTCCTCAATATACTGGAATAAAGCAAGTTGGCTAAAAGTGCAATTTAGACGAAAGTTATATAGATTAGACAAAAGTCGATGTGCAGGTTCGATACTACTAGATACTAGATGCTGTGGTACATTTACCAGCACACGGTGAAACTGCAAACCCAGCTGCTTGCAAATAAGACTTAAGAGTTGCGGTTGGCATGAGAGGTAGGGTTATGATGAACACATTGGATTCACGATTTGACCCTGTGAGCCAAATAGTGAAAATGTGGAAGATGGTGAAGTGCCCAGACGCGGAGGTATAGGCGGGGCAAGCAGGGCAGCTGCCCCTGGGCCCGGGCCCCTCCCATGTGTCTGGAGGGCCCCTCGCCCCTCGTCGCAGTGACGAGTAGGCCTGCACGATTCAGGGAAAAATATGAATCACAATTTTTTTGCTTAGAATTGATATCACGATTCTCTGCCACGATTTTTTTGCTCACGAAATGTACTGTTTATTGCACTCAGCGGCGCCGGAACGAGTTTGAAAGTGGGGGTGCAAAAAAAACAACAAAAAAAACGCTGGTTTCGGGCTCTGGGTTCCCCGAGACAATTTGGAACATTCTAGAGGCCAACTAGCATTCACGCACGTTTTCACGTGGGATATTACGATATAAGAGGCTAATAATAATTTTAAAAAGTCTAACAAATAAACAATACAAATACATTAATTATTGAAAATCCTTTCCCACCACATCCACATCATCTTGTTTCTTGTGTCTCATGTGTTCACCTGGTCTGTATTTGGAACCGATAGCCTAATAACAGACAGCCTACCTACTGTTAATAACATATAACCACACAGCGATATGACAACATTGTTTTTATTGAATCGATTAAAAATGACTCATCTCATTCTCTCAAACTGTATACTAACATGTACCTTAGCCTGTCGGATCATTGTTTACACATTTGTCCAAGTAGCATTCTTCTGTAGCCCTACGAACGCACCTAGCGCTTAGCAGCTATGATAGCCACTGCTTTCCGCGTTGATCAACATTGACGTCACCGTAGTGTAGCGATGTAGTCGTGTATCCAAGATCTCTGTAGTCCTCACACACAAGTTTCAAGAACAAATACAAATGAAGGTATCGTAGAGCAGCACAGCGATGTGTAAGGTAAGTGTGGTTGTGACGCAGATAACCGAACTGAGCTTCAGTATCATCGCAGCCTCGTTGGTCGCGTTGATGTTGGTCCTGAACCCTTTACCTGGACCAGTCACCTGGTTTGCGGGCGAATTATCCGATTGGCTGAGCATGACATCATGACCAAGAGGCCGGACTAGAGCAGAAGTAATTAAAGCTACAGCACAGAAGAAAGTAGCGTTTGTGACGCAGTCGGTTAGTAAAATTAAATGAGAATCGAAATCAATTAAAAATTAAACCGTAGGCCTACATGGGGGTGAATCGAGATCGCGATTTTATAACGATTTATCGTGCAGGCCTAGTGACGAGTCAATAATTTTCAAAGATTCAATTTGATCGACAGAACAAGTGATCTCTCATAGCTGCTACGTATTACTGTAGTGATGGATACGTACTTAATTATATATCCGTCCTTTTACGTGTACTATTCTATCATGGTAGGAAGCGTGCATGTCTTTGTGCGTGTGGGTGTGTGGGAATGGGGGGCCCATTATCCATTTCTGCCCCAGGGCCCTGCATACAGTTGTTCCGCCACTGGAAGTGCCCCTCATTCACAAATGCATTTTTGGAATTGAAATGCTACTGTTTAATGTGTGTGCTGTTGCAGACTTTGGTTTAGTTTGTTTTATTTCAGTGTTGTTAGTTTTTTGTCCTTCCTCTGTCCTATTTGATAGGCCCTTGATCCAAATTGTAAGAATTAAATCGTTCAGAATACAAAAGAGGTATAGGCCTATGGGTTTGTTTTATTTTGCATTTAAGAACCAATGCTCTTAACGGACAATACCGGTCTGTGATCATTTAAATTTGTGGCAGGCGTGTGCCTGCTAAATGCTTGTCGGCTGAATAAATAATTATATAAAGTAATTTTGCCAAATGATATTGGTAACAGATGTTTTAGTGAAGCCAGGAGAGCTGGCGACGATGGTTTGATCACAGACCGGTATTGTCCTTTTAAGTTACTTGAATTTAATTTTTATCAGGTCAAACTCCAGTTATATTGACGTTACAAAGGATAGAACGTGTTTGGTAATTAAGTTTAAGAAAGCATTTACACTCTACTCTTTGTGTTGTGTTGCCTTTGTCATCTTGCTATATTTAAATCTTAAGCATCATAATTCATCTGTATTGTAATGAAAAAATACATAATTTTCTGATAAACTACATATTTTAGACCTGAATCTTCTGAAAGTATCTGAACGTTTCAGACCACACATGCCCATTCCCAATGACCTCCTCTAATGCTTACTCATTATGCCACGTCTGTCTGAATGTTTATCTGTCTAAGGGGTTGCGTAAAGGTCCATTCTGCCTACCATGTTTTGATGCCTGGTGCTTTAAGCATTGACTTCTACTCTTTAAATATGTAAATATATTACCTTAAAGCAGAGTTGAGTTTGAACTCAACTCAATCGTGCCAGCGGTTAAAATTTAGAGCACAGTTTTGCCTTCTCATGCAGGCTGAGATCGTGGCTGATACTGTTTAATGCCAATAGATCCTCTCAGGGGGATAAAGTTATATCCCCCTCTCTCTATCAGACTATTTAAGCACAGCAGTGAAATGGCGAAGAACACATTTTGATTCACTTGTCTAGACGAGCGACCTTCATCACAGAACAGGAGGTCAGATCGCTCCCACTTTGAATCTGGAGAACAATCATGGAGAATACATTCACCAAGTACCTGATTCTCCTCTTCGTTCGCACTCTTCCCGTCGGCCGCAGAGGCCTCTGTCCCATGAGTCTACCAGCCTACCCAGTGGACGGTACCAACTGATAGGCTGATCTATCGTGGTCCTGACTAACTCAACCGGTAGAGCATGGCATTAAGATTGCCAGGGGGGTTCATTAGGGGTTCGATTCCCACTGGGGACCACCCATGCAAAAAAATATATGCACTCACGGTGTTGCAACAAGGGCAACAAGGATTGGGTTAACTAGTTCCTACATTAAGTAGGCCTAAGTGACTACAATTAGGTGGTTACTAAATGGTTTTTGTTCTTATAAACCTTTTATAAGAAAGGTTAAAAGTACGGGATATTTATAGAAACATATTTAAAAGGGAGGACAGCGGGGTAGAGAAGGTTAAAATATGGGAGATTTACAAGAAAATATTTAAATGGGAGGACAGCAGGAGACGAGGGTAAAATACGGGAGCATCCCGGGAAAAACGCAAGGGTTGACGGGTACGGTTGGGGCAGCAGCATAATGCAGTCAACTCACTATCCGACTAAAATATATACTCAACTTATGAGCTGCAGTAACCTGTACCACATTTACATATGGTAATCGTTGCATATTCCACTCCACACACCGGGCATTACAAAACATTGTGGACCCCTCAGCCAGTGGCAGACAGACAGACAGACACACATGTACCGAGAGGGAGAAATATACATACATAACACGTACTCTTATATCGATATAGAGGCAGTGAGTCACACACAAATGACTCAAACATTTTCGACTAAACAGATTAGGCCTACGCCTTGCACTAAACGCAATGACATTGCAAATCTTGGGGAATGCGGGAAAGTAGGGAGACTCAAAGAGACTCAATATGCTTTAATGACCTGGATCTGAAATCACTGTACGTCGCTTCGGAAATACACGTCTACTACGTAGTTATCGTAAATTGTATTAACGACATACTGTTTTTTTTTTGTTTTTGTTTGTTGTGGGTTCATCATCATCATCATCGTCGTCCTCATCGTCGTCCTTGTCATCGTCTAATATGTGAGAGGGCTTCATGCTGGTTTACACGGTGGCCTCCTCAGCTGACGGGGTACACTGCGCTGCCTCGCCTCAACGCCGGCCCTTTAGCTCCCGTTTAGCTAATGAGGTTTATGAGGCTATTTGTCTTGGGGAGAGAGGGAGTGGGAGCCCAGTAGGCAGAGGGAGGGAGAGAGAGCTTATCAGGGCTGAAGTACACATTAAGCTGCTCTCTGCATCCACTGCTAAAGAGCGGTCATTAATACCCTTCACAACTTAAAAACACTTTCTTTTGTCTCTCTCGATAAGACACTGCCTCTCTCTGTCTCTGTCTCCCTGTCTCCCGGTCTCTCTATCTCTCTCTCTCTCTGTCTAACGTCTTCACTGCTGTGTGTGAAGGTTCAAAGGTGTGATGCTGGTGTCAGGAGCGTATGCTAGAGGTCAACACGACCACATCCCTGTGCTGGCTTGCTATTAGCCCCGCCTGCAGCCACAAGCTACGGTGATTTCTGAAATGAAAAACGTTTGCAGTTTGGCAGTCCATACATTATGTTATCAACTGCCTGGAAGTGAATATTCACGAGCAAGCTAGAACCATTGCCATTTATTAGGCTATTCTTATATTTTTTCAATCTTATAGATGATTTACATTGTACCCCCAAGCTAAACTCTTTCCTTCGCTGTAAATCATTTTCTCATTGTTTCAATCAATTTGTTTCAAAGTCATTGCTTGTGTATCGCCGATTTATGCTGATTATGTATCGCTATAGCATTTAGCTAGCGTTTGACTTGCTTGTTTGACTGATGTATTTAAATGAATGTGTACTCCATTCAGTACATTACCTCCAAAGCCCAGTTGTTATATGCTCTGTTATTTGTCACGATCCCCCTCTGTGACAGCAGTGTTTGGTAGTTCAAAGTTTAAAGTATGTCCTTCAAGCCAAGATTTTGTTTTCCACCAATCATGGAAATCATTTGTGTGTGTGTGTGTGTGTGTGTGTGTGTGTGTGTGTGTGTGTGTGTGTGTGTGTGTGTGTGTGTGTGTGTGTGTGTGTGTGTGTGTGTGTGTGTGTGTGTGTGTGTGTGTGTGTGTGTGTGTGTGGGGGGATAATGCATGTTTTCCAACAAATCGTTCTCTATTTCTCGCTCCCTCTGCACTGACCCCCATACCCTCACTCTCATTCAGACATCTGCTAATTAAAGAGAGCAGGAAGTAATTTCTTAACGGAGAAGGGATGGGCCGGCAGGGGAAATCACTGCCCAGTTAACTACAACCCCCATAGTCCTTCAGTGAAATGGATACAGAGTTACACAGGGGAGATTATCAGTGAAGCGCCCCCCCCCCCCGCACCCCCCCCCCCCCCCCCACACACACACACCCTTACAGAGGAGTGCATGTTGGCAGCAGTTGGATGGTTGTTTTGGTGTGTGTGTGTGTGTGTGTGTGTGTGTGTGTGTGTGTGTGTGTGTGTGTGTGTGTGTGTGTGTGTGTGTGTGTGTGTGTGTGTGTGTGTGTGTGTGTGTGTGTGTGTGTGTGTGTGTGTGTGTGTGTGTGGCGTGCCGTCGGAAATTGCGTCTCCCGCGCGGCCGCCTTTCACACAGACGCAGCCCGTCAAGCAGGGCCTCGCCGATAACCATGGCAACCGAAGCGCCATTAAGGGTAGAATGCATTTTTCTATCGTCGAGGTGTGTTGTGTGTGGTTAGGACTAGAGGAGATTTTCTTGACAACTGTGTCTTGCCATTTTTGCATTCGCCGCACATCTTGGCGTTAACTTCATTGGAGGAGGGTCCCGAGGTGACGCGTGTCACCTCTCGCAGCGTGTGGGCGCACGGGGAAAGAGAGCAGCCACTTTGTGCTCCCTGCGGTGACGAAAGCTGCCGTAGAGATAGCTTTAATTCCTCCGTTTTTTGGTGTTTCCTCCCGAGAAGTGGGAGCGCCCAAAACAAAATGAAAGAGGGACTGTGCCGCTGGGCGACTTGGAGGGAGAGATTGACGAGGAGAACGAGAATGTAATGAGTAATGAGAGAGGGTGCGGCGAGAGGGTTGGACTGTGCGGAGATTAGTGTGTGTGTATGTATGATGATGATGATGATGATGATGAGTTTGATGTCCTCTGATGAGCCGAGTGATAAGTTTAGGCTTTAGATAATAGTGAGAAATGACACTTCAGAGATGGTGGAATTAACTAGACGGTGATACGTCTCTGTGACTCGCCATCTCCATTCATCCACCCCTCCTCTTTCTCTTTCATTATCTTTGCCTCTCTCTGTCTCTCTGTCTTTCTCTCTGTCTCCCTCTGTCTCTCACTGGCTTTCTGACCTTGAACAATCATTTTCTTACATTCCCTTGCATCATTTACTATTCATTATAATCTTTATCTTCTCCTCTTCTTCACTGTTCCTCTCCCTCCCTCTCTCCTCAGTGCTCGGTTGATAAAACCTAACTGATCTTCAGAGTCCCCTATTTTAACTCCAGGTTTGATGTTGATTAGCCATTACAAGTCATTCAAAATCAAAGTGACATGAGTGTTGACCCAGATGTACGATGAATAGAAAATCAACCAATATTGTGTATGTATTTAAAATGAATGTACAATCAATCATTTAGTATTGTGTATGTCTTCCTTTCATCAACATACAACATGCGAGGAAGACACTATTGCTTAGTCTATATGGGTAACCCTACTTGGCAATACATTGCATTATGATTGTAATGGATGAAGAGTACTTATATCTCTCTCTCTCTCTCTCTCTCTCTCTCTCTCTCTCTCTCTCTCTCTCTCTCTGTGCTGCTTTATGTCTCTCTCTCGGAGCAGCGAGGAAGACCTGTGCTCCGGCTGAGTTTGCGTGTCTGAACGGTCAGTGTGTTCCGGGTCGCTGGCGCTGCGATGGAGAGCCAGAGTGTCCCGACGGGTCGGACGAAGCCGAGGTCACCTGCAGTAAGTGGAACAAATATACACGCACGCACGCAGACAGGCGCACGCAACTATGCTCCCAGTCTCATACACAACAAACTGATGTCAAACAGAGCCCTGTAACTCCATTAAGACATTTCATTTCGAACTCAACCCCCCCCCCACCCCACACACACACACACACGCACACACACACACACACACACACACACACACACACACACACACACACACACACACACACACACACACACACACACACACACACACACACACACCATCCTCTCTGGTGTTTGGTTGTGTTCAGCGCCTGCCTTCCACAACATCAACTCGGAGCTTTTAATTCTGTGGAGAGAACAGCAGGGCTACGCTAGGCTACGCTAGGCTAAGCTACGCTGTGCTGCGCTATGCTACGCTACGCAAAGCTATGCTACGCTACGCAAAGCTGAGCTCCTGGAGGATAGAAAAGCTGCGGGGTTAGTGCTAAGGACTTGCCATTTTCTCACTCGGTTGCGTCCGCTTTCCGCTAGCTCCCTGTGCTCGTCTCGAGTGGTGGTGGTGCGAGATAGGGTTCCCGTTATCTCTCTCTCGCTCTCTCTGTCACTGTCTGTCTCTCTCTCTCTGTCTCTCTGTGTCTTTGTGTCTCTCTTTCTCTGTCTGATTTAAAGATTCAAAGGGCTTTATTGGCATGGAAAACATACTCCCTCTGTGTCTCTCCGTCTCAGAGATGAGGAAAAATCAGGTTTGTGATTTCCCTTGGTGCTTACCCCCTCCGCCCCTCGCCCCTCGCCCCTCGCCCCCCGTCTCTCCACTTCTTGATAGTTCGCCCACTCTGATCCTCACCGCTCTCCTGATGCGGGGGAGAGATAGAGCCCCCCCCCCCCCCCCCCCCCCCCTCCCGTGAGAGACAGCTTTGGGGAGGCTGATGGTGTACGCTGGTCTCTGTGTTGGTGGATGACTAGGCAGTCCATGCTAGAGAGGTTCAGACTGATGCTAGGGCTGATGCTTGGGGGGTGGTGTTCGCCATTCGACAGCACCAAGTACCGGGTTCAATCCCCTTACATGTGGGCATCCTTGAGCAAGATGCCCTGACAACTACCTGCTCATTAATGACATTTATCTGAATTAAAAATGCTAAATACAAAATGGTCGTCTCAAATGTCCTCTATTCTCCCTTCATCTGTTAAATAAAGAACAGATTTCTATGAACGCCCTATTATTCATAATAGGGCGTTCATTTGCTTGAGT